GTTAAAATAATTTTTTGTACAAATACATTATAATAAGAACATGAAGAACATATATTGCACTGAACATGAATTAAATTCCAAATCCACGACAACCAATCCCAAGTAGAAACCTCATCCTGTATCACTGTCAATGACAGTGAACCCCAACGTAGCATTTCCACATTCCAAAATGTAAACATCATAACTGGAACATAAACCAATATTTCCTCTGCCTATTTCTCCAGCTTGTCTCAATGAATCTCCAGAGTACCATCCCCTCCTCTCCCCCTACTACCCCCCCCCCCCCCCCCCCCCCCATCCCCGCCCGAGTATCCAAGTGAACAACCCCTTCCTCCACCTCCTAATAGAGTCCCTAGTGGACTGCTCCTTCCTCACCCCTTCACCACCCCACCTCACCCCCACCCCCCACCCCCACCCACCCACCCCCCTCCTAGTAAGCCATCCCATGGCCTGCTCCCCCTGAAGATCCTGTGGCCTGCTCCCACTTCCTGGTTGGAAGGAGTGTACATGTGCCAGGTGTCAAGTAGCCAAGCTGACCACACATCACCTTTGTACTGGGTTACCTCTGCTGTCTCCTGATTGCCCCCTTACACTCTCCTAGAACTGTAACACATCCCTTACTCATCCAGTCACTCTCATCCCTTCACTACTGCAAGCCTCTATGACCTCCCTCACTACTGCAAGCCTCTATGACCTCCCTCACTACTGCAAGCCTCTACCACCTCCCTCACCACTACAAGCCTCTACTATCTCCCTCACCACTGCAAGCCTCCACCACCTCCCTCACCACTGCAAGCCTCTACCACCTCCCTCACCACTACAAGCCTCCACTTCCTCCCTCACCACTGCAAGCCTCCACCACCTCCCTCACCACTGCAAGCCTCCACCACCTCCCTCACCACTGCAAGCCTCTACCACCTCCCTCACCACTACAAGCCTCCACTTCCTCCCTCACCACTGCAAGCCTCTACCACCTCCCTCACCACTACAAGCCTCCACTTCCTCCCTCACCACTGCAAGCCTCCACCCCTTCCCTCACCAGTGTAAGCCTCTACCACCTCCCTCACCACTACAAGCCTCTACTACCTCCCTCACCACTACAAGCCTCTACCACCTCCCTCACCACTACAAGCCTCTACCACCTCCCTTACCACTACAAGCCTCTACCACCTCCCTTACCACTTCAGGCCTCAACCACCTCCCTCACCACTACAAGCCTCTATGACTTTCTTCACCACTACAAGCCTCCACCACCTCCCTCACCACTGCAAGCCTCTACCACCTCCCTCACCACTGCAAGCCTCCACCACCTCCCTTACCCCTGTAAGCTACTAACTACTACTAAAACACCCTGACACTACCATCCCTTATATCCCCTTCCTCCAGGCACATACATAATCAGTCCGTCTCCCCTACAGCTCTGCAAGTGTGTGTAAACATATTTCCAACAATTAGCTGCGCTCACTATGATCAGAACCACCTGGTCTCCCCGGCCTAACTCAAACCCCATGGTCATAAAGAATATCTCTAAACAGACTGCCACTGTTTGGCAACACAGCTCCACTGAGATGACATTCTGGATCAGCCTTGCTCAAACACCTGGTTATTGCCAGTGTCACAGACATTCTAATGTTGAGATAGGAAAAAAGGATGATCATTCCCATGAAGTTTTTAGAAGCTACAGTGACAGTGACTCTAGAACCTAGTCTGGCAGTGACTCTTGAACCTAGTCTGCCAGTGACTCTAGACTCCAGGCTGGCAGTGACTCTCGAATGGACACTGCCAGTGACTTTAGAATGGATGCTGTCAGTGATTCTAGAACCTTGTCTGCCAGTGACTCTCCAGCCCAGTCTGACAGTGACTCTAGAACCTTGTCTGACAGTGACTCTAGAACCTGGTCTGTCAGTGACTCTAGAACCTGGTCTGCCAGTGACTTTAGAACCAAGGCTGTCGGTGATTCTAGAACCTTGTCTGACAGTGACTCTAGAGCCTTGTCTGACAGTGACTCTAGACTCCAGGCTGGCAGTCACTCTAGACTCCAGGCTGGCAGTGACTCTAGAACCTGGTCTGCCAGTGACTTTAGAATCTAGGCTGGGAGTGACTCTAGAATGGATGATGGCAGTGACTTTAGAACCTTGTCTGTCAGTGACTCTAAGCTGACAGCATCGTCAGTGAAGAGAAGAATCTGCAGATATCATCACATTCCTACTTAGAACATGAACCGAAAATTCTTTTTAAGTACAAACTCCAAACAGATTCATTGTAGGATAGGTAGTTCCAAACCAAATAATCTTTCAGTGTAATGATCAAACGAAAAGCTGTTTGAGGGAGTATGTCAAGACGGTACGTACTGATCCATAAACCGTCATTAGATCACACATTCCTCTACAGTCGCTGAGGCCAACTAGACAGCATTATGACCCTTTGTTTGCCATATAGGAACCTCAGAGGCCATTAACCCATTAGCACCAGTCACATTATCTGGAGTTTATGAGCACCAAACAAGAAGTCACATAAACCATGAAGCGTTAACAGGATCTCAGCCTGTCCTCCTCGACACCGATTTAGAGTCTGTGTGAGGGGGTAACATCACTGGGTCATATTGCCAGGCTCTCTGGGTTATATCACCAGGTTTACCCTGTCTCCTTTAGTACATCACTCAGTCAGCATCTACCTCCTTCTCACCCCCCAGAGTCTTAGGAGAACTCCCTGACCTATACCTCTCTCTCATCCTCACATCTTACCTCGACCTCCCTGTGTACATATCTCTCATCCTCACATCTTACCTCGACCTCCCTGTGTACGTATCTCTCATCCTCACATCTTACCTCGACCTCTCTGTATACATATCTCTCATCCTCACATCTTACCTCGACCTCCCTGTGTACGTATCTCTCATCCTCACATCTTACCTCGACCTCCCTGTATACATATCTCTCATCCTCACATCTTACCTCGACCTCCCTGTGTACATATCTCTCATCCTCACATCTTACCTCGACCTCCCTGTGTACATATCTCTCATCCTCACATCTTACCTCGACCTCCCTGTGTACATATCTCTCATCCTCACATCTTACCTCGACCTCCCTGTGTACATATCTCTCATCCTCACATCTTACCTCGACCTCCCTGTGTACGTATCTCTCATCTTCACATCTTACCTCGACCTCCCTGTGTACATATCTCTCATCCTCACATCTTACCTCGACCTCCCTGTGTACATATCTCTCATCCTCACATCTTACCTCAACCTCCCTGTGTACCTCTCTCTCATCCTCACATCTTACCTCGACCTCCCTGTGTACCTCTCTCTCATCCTCACATCTTACCTCGACCTCCCTGTGTACATATCTCTCATCCTCACATCTTACCTCGACCTCCCTGTGTACATATCTCTCATCCTCACATCTTACCTCGACCTCCCTGTGTACATATCTCTCATCCTCACATCTTACCTCGACCTCCCTGTGTACATATCTCTCATCCTCACATCTTACCTCGACCTCTCTAGCCTATACTTCTCACTCCTACAACCACACTGGCTCACCCCTCTTCTCCATCTCTTAACCACTCTTCCCCATTTCTACTTTCTCTAAACCCCCTTTCCTCTCCCTCTCAACTCCTTATGCACTCTCTCTAATCCTTTTTCCACTCTCTCAAAGCCAGTGTTGAGTCTCTCTAAAACCCCTTTCTCTATATCCCCTTTCTACTTTCTCTCAACTCCCTTGTTCTATATCTCCTTTCCACTTTCTCTCAACCCTTTTTCTCTATATCTCCTCTCCCTTTTCTCTCAACACCTTTTCTCCATATCTCCTTTCCACTTTCTCTCAACCCCTTTTCTCCATATCTCCTTTCCACTTTCTCTCAACCCCTTTCTCTATATATCCTTTCCACTTTCTCTCAACCCCTTTCTCTATATATCCTTTCTACTTTCTCTCAGCCCCTTTCTACTTTCTCTCAGCCCCTTTCTACTTTCTCTCAGCCCCTTTCTACTTTCTCTCAACCTACTTTCTCAACCCCTTTTCCAGTCTCTCGAAACCCCCTTTCTACTCACTCTATATCCCCTTTCTACTATCTCTTAAACCACTCTATGAATGGCAATTATTAGAAATGACACAGAAATGCATTTAATTTTGTATTTCTTAATTTCAAAAATTTTGTGAATCAGCCTAGTTCATATTTAGCGTTAATTTGATTAGATGCAGGTCTACATAAGAAAATTACATGTAATTAATTTCATTATTAATGAACACATTGATACATCGTGAAACGTTTGAGGGAATATATTGATAGTATACTTTCCTATCAATGACACCCCTAGTTGGCAGAGCTAGGTAAGATGGCGAGGTCCCTCATTGCTTGTCATAGTACCCTAATGGTGTGGCTTGCTGCATGTGTGTCACTGGCTTGTCTGGTCCAGTCCTGATTATACACAGGCCACGATAGAGCTGACTGCTGCATAAACCAACATTCAGCCACCACATCCCTAACTGTGTGAGACCGCATCCGTGGTCTAGTGGTAGAGGGTCCGCCTGGAGAGCGGAAGGTCCAGGGTTCGATCCCCGGCAGCGTCATAACAAAAGACATTAAAAGATGGTACTTGTTGTTACCCTGTCTTGTGCTCGGCATTAAGGGGCTAAAACAAGGACTGGTCAGCTCGGAGTCAGTATACTGTGTGGGGTATTCATGTTAAACTGCGGAATGGTATCTCAGTGGGCTAGCACTATAAACCGGCATCAGTCCGGACTAGTACAAGCAGCCACACACACACACACATACATACACGTGCATGCACGTCGCTATATAAGTGCAATAATCTTGGACGCGATGTTAAACCCCATTTCACCTCACCTCACCTCACCTCACCTCACCACCTAACTGTGTGATGACCTGCACTCCTCCTGCTGGCCCCCTACTGCAGTACAGCCAGCACCAGGGTCAGGCCACGCCACACCCACATCCCACCCCCATCCACCACCCCCTCCCTGTCAACTGACCTGCACTCCTGAAGTCCTCCTGTTGGCCCCCACACAGCAGCACAGCCAGCACCAGGGTCAGGCCACACCCCCAATAGTATCCAGGGGACACCCAGCAACCCATTGTATCACACTGGGGCCAAATCTCACACAGCTTGCACCTGAAAGTATAAAAAGTTTGTTGTAGGTTTATACAACTGGTCGACCACCTCCATGGTCTAATGGTAGAGCGTCCGCCCGGAGAGCGGAAGGTACAGGGTTCGATCCCCGGCCAAGTCATACCGAAAAGACGTTGAAGGATGGTACTTGTTGTTTCCTGTATGGCACTCGGCATTAAAGATCTAAAACAAGGACTGGTCAGCTTGGAGTCCGCATACTGTGTCTGAGTGGGGTATTCATGTTAAACTGTGGCATGGTATCTCAGTGTGCTAGCACTACTAATCGGCATCAGTCCGGACTAGTACAAGCAGCCACACACACACATACACGTGCATGCACGTTGCTATATAAGTGCAATAATCTTGGACGCGCGTTAAACCCCATTTCACCTTGTCATAATTTGGTTGTCTTGTATTCAACATGTTCAAGATGTAAATATCTGGGTCAAGCATTTTGTCATCTTCTACCACCAAACTGTGTTATTTGTTTGTTTCATGTTGAGATTAATTGTAACAAATTGGCTCGAATACTCATTTCAAACAGGATCGGGTGGTCAGACTCGCTGACTTGGTTGATGCATGTCATTGTATCCCAATTGCGTAGATCGATGCTCATGATGTCAATCACTGGATTGTCTGGTTCAAACTCGATTATTTTCAGACCGCCATCATATAGCTGGAATATTGCTGAGTGCGTCGTTAAACAACAAACAAACAAACAAACTGAAAATAAACATACATGACAGTTTACAGTCTACTTTTTCTGTGTAGAGCTGAATAATAGTTCAAATATTATTTATACCATACAATAGTTCACATACAGATACAATGTACAACATTACAACAATGCAGATGTGAATACAACATGTACTATGTACAACGTAATAGCAATGACTGGAATACAAATGAATAATTTCCCCAGTGTGCTACACAGGGCATTTGTGAAGATGTTTAAGTGTGCAAGCACACTGAGCTCCATTGAGGCTATTTGGAATGTCTTTTTTTCCTGCAATCAATGTTGTGATTCACTCAAGTCACCAACACGTCAGGCAACCATAACAGTTTCCATTGATGGTGTTTATGCAATTACTGCTTGTGATTGAGAGCCATAGACTGGGTCTATCTTCAAACCTGAAGTGTGCCATTTCACGTAGAGACCAGACAGTTGTAATATAGAAAATATAACTGTTTTCTTTTAACATTTTTCATACGGTGCATTATGTACATTCATATGGTCATTCTTTTGCATATGTTTGTCCAATATATTGTGAAAAGTTTCATATCATTTCTAGGGTCTGTGTGGGGGTTGCTTAGCATCAACACTCAGGGGTGAGCATGGGGATACCTAGGGTCACTGTAAGCATTCAGGGGTCAGAACGGGGATACCTAGGATCACTGTCAGCAGTCAGGGGTCAGAACATGGAAACAAAGGATCACTGTCAGCACTCAGGGGTCGGTATGGGGGATACCTAGGATCACTGTCAGCACTCAGGAGTCAGTATGGGGATACCTAGGATCACTGTCAGCACTCAGGGGTCAGCATGGGGATACCTAGGATCACTGTTAGCACTCAGGGGTCAGCATGGGGATACCTAGGATCACTGCCAGCACTCAGAGGTCAGCATGGGGATACCTAGGATCACTGTCAGCACTCAGAGGTCAGCATGGGGATACCTAGGATCACTGTCAACACTCAGAGGTCAGCATGGGGATACCTAGGATCACTGTCAGCACTCAGGAGTCAGTATGGGGATACCTAGGATCACTGTCAGCACTCAGAGGTCAGCACGGGGATACCTAGGATCACTGTCAGCACTCAGGGGTCAGTATGGGGGATACCTAAGATCACTGTCAGCACTCAGGGGTCAGCATGGGGATACCTAGGATCACTGTCAGCACTCAGAGGTCAGCATGGGGATACCTAGGATCACTGTCAGCACTCAGAGGTCAGTATGGGGATACCTAGGATCACTGTCAGCACTCAGAGGTCAGCATGGGGATACCTAGGATCAGTGTCAGCCCTCAGGGGTCAGCATGGGGATACCTAGGATCAGTGTCAGCACTCAGGGGTCAGCATGGAGATACCTAGGATCACTGCCAGCACTCAGGAGTCAGTATGGGGATACCTTGGATCACTGTCAGCACTCAGGAGTCAGTATGGGGATACCTTGGATCACTGTCAGCACTCAGGAGTCAGTATGGGGATACCTAGGATCACTGCCAGCACTCAGGAGTCAGTATGGGGATACCTTGGATCACTGTCAGCACTCAGGGGTCAGCATGGGGATACCTAGGATCACTGTCAGCACTCAGGGGTCAGCATGGAGATACCTAGGATCACTGCCAGCACTCAGAGGTCAGTATGGGGATACCTAGGATCACTGTCAGCACTCAGAGGTCAGCATGGAGATACCTAGGATCAGTGTCAGCACTCAGGGGTCAGTATGGGGGATACCTAAGATCAGTGTCAGCACTCAGGGGTCAGCATGGAGATACCTAGGATCACTGTCAGCACTCAGGAGTCAGTATGGGGATACCTTGGATCACTGTCAGCACTCAGGAGTCAGTATGGGGATACCTTGGATCACTGCCAGCACTCAGGGGTCAGTATGGAGATACCTAGGATCACTATCAGCACTCAGGGGTCAGCATGGGGATACCTAGGATCACTGTCAGCACTCAGGGGTCAGTATGGAGATACCTAGGATCACTATCAGCACTCCGGGGTCAGCATGGGGATACCTAGGATCACTGTCAGCACTCAGGGGTCAGTATGGGGGATACCTAAGATCACTGTCAGCACTCAGGGGTCAGCATGGGGATACCTAGGATCACTGTCAGCACTCAGGGGTCAGCATGGAGATACCTAAGATCACTGTCAGCACTCAAGGGTCAGTATGGAGATACCTAGGTCAGTGTCAGCACTCAGGGGTCAGTATGGGGATACCTAGGATCACTGTCACCCCACACCCCAATGGGTCTTTAAGGGTTAAAAGGGACTTGCAGTTGCCCCCCTGGATTTTTTATAGAAAACAGTTTTATTTGAATCATGAAAATACAAGTTGGGGACAAGTGATACTTGTACAAATATTTGCCTCCCCCTGTCCAAAAAAGTTAACTAAGGCCTTGGAGCGACCAGCACAACAGAATGTAAACTAACTCCTTTATTTTTTCCATTGGAAATTTAGATGACATAAACAAGATTTCTAAATATCCTCTTTGGAAAAGTTAAATACTTTGAAAACAGACTGTTTAATTAACATTCTAGAAGTTGGTAAGTCGGTAAGAAAAACATACAATTTTATGGATAACTTCTGAAACCGAGCGCTTAACACAGGAAATCAGAAAAACAACTTGTAGTTCCTCTGGAGATCTGAGATACGACACAGGCAGGAAGAGAAGTGTGTCACAACTCAGTGGATATTTCACACTTCAAGGAAATCTAACATGTGGTATTGTTTCAACAAATATGCCCTTATGTCACGGTGTTACTCAATCACTGGACGACCCCCCCCCCCCTCCCCCGACTACACTCCACCCCACCCCATCCCCCTCCTCTCATGTTCCCCAGCTGCATCTGAACAAAGGCTACAATCAGCCAGCCTGATAAGCTGGATGTGCAGATGTGGTTGGATCTCACACCGCAATTGCTACCACAACAAAAACACTGTACTTGTAGTTCCAAATATAACCCCAAGTAGCATCTCCTGTTTACTGCTTTCATAAACACTGATAAGCTTGGTGGTGATGTATTATTAACTTTGGAGATTTTCTTCAATTGGCCAAGTGAAATCAAGTTTCTTACATACCTCTACAATAATGTTAATAACGTAAGCATGAAAGAAGTTTTCGTGCACTTATGAACCATTTTTTGATAATTAAAAATCATCATTGCTGCATAAATATGTAAAGTAATTAATAATAATTAAACAAACGAACTGTGATGTATGTTTGTAACAACTAACGGTCAAGAATCCTAATGACCAACTGTGCCTCGTCTACCAGTCAGTCACGGACAAAACATTGCCGTTGATTCCAAGAGGGTGGCTAATCAGCTGGTAAACGACCGATCGCTGTCAACTGTACTGTCAACGCACAGAAGAACGCCACAGTCATCACTTGCATATAGATTCCATAACATAACTCTCACCTTTCTAAAGAGCGTTGTTTCCAAGTAGCATCCCTCTGTTACAGCGGCTGTAGCATCGAGCGTTATCTACTCTGAGAGAAGCGGCCTGTGTGTCTGAGTCTCACCGTATCGGGTGTCCGCGCCCGTAACAGTGGGGGTTCACGCCGGATGCGGAATACGGAATGAGATTTGACAGCATATCACTAAAAGTAGAAATGACCTGAAATTATCTTGGCTTCGCCCGTGTAAAGCTTTGATGCCAGAAAAGATCAGTGAGATTAAAGCGCGCCTCCGGAGATAGGTTTGGACATTAAATATATATGGTTTATCTCATGTCATTCATCGTGATAAATGTTCTATGGACCTGTTCTCTTTCAGTGTGGCACTGATGGACTATCGTGAGGCGACCAAAGTCAACTCCAGCTTGCTACACCTTACTGCCGATAATCACGTTATCCTGTAGAGTAATCATTCGTGGTGTATAGAATGTGTTGTGAAACTAATCAACGGGCTGACAAACCCGTGTAGCTGCAGGTTTAACATGTCGTAAGTAATAAGTCATGGCGGAAAGAGGCACATCGTCTTCAAGCGAAGTCGCAAATATGGTCTTGTCCAGAGGAGTTAATGGTTTTCTTTGGAAAGGGTTTTATTGTCTTCTGTGAAGTGGTACATGGTCTTCAAGGCCGTAGTACAAGGTCTTGTTACATGTCTTGTTGGGAAAATGTCTGTGGTCTAGGTGGGAAACTGTTACATGTCTTCTAGGGAAAAGGTGCATGGTCTAGGTGGGAAACTGTTACACGTCTTCTAGGGAAAAGGTGCATGGCCTAGGCGGGAAACTGTTACACGTCTTCTAGGGAAAAGGTGCATGGTCTGGGTGGGAAACTGTTACATGTCTTCTAAGGCAAATGTGCATGGTCTAGGTGGGAAACTGTTACATGTCTTCTAAGGCAAATGTGCATGGTCTAGGTGGGAAACTGTTACATGTCTTCTAAGGCAAATGTGCATGGTCTAGGAGGGAAACTGTTACATTTCCTCTAGGGAAAAGGTGCATGGTCTAGGTGGGAAACTGTTACATGTCTTCTTGGGAAAAGGTGCATGGTCTGGGTGGGAAACTGTTACACGTCTTCTGGGGAAAAGGTGCATGGTCTAGGTGGGAAACTGTTACATGTCTTCTAGGGAAAAGGTGCATGGTCCAGGTGGGAAACTGTTACACGTCTTCTGGGGAAAAGGTGCATGGTCTAGGTGGGAAACTGTTACATGTCTTCTAGGGAAAAGGTGCGTGGTCTAGGTGGGAAACTGTTACATGTCTTCTAGGGAAAAGGTGCGTGGTCTGGGTGGGAAACTGTTACATGTCTTCTAGGGAAAAGGTGCATGGTCTAGGTGAGAAACTGTTACACATCTTCTAGGGAAAAGGATTGTGGTCTAGGTGGGAAACTGTTACATCTCTTCTTGGGAAAAGGTGCATGGTCTAGGTGGGAAACTGTTACACGTCTTCTAGGGAAAAGGTGCATGGTCTAGGTGGGAAACTGTTACATGTCTTCTAGGGAAAAGGTGCATGGTCTAGGTGGGAAACTGTTACACGTCTTCTAGGGAAAAGGTGCGTGGTCTAGGTGGGAAACTGTTACATGTCTTCTAGGGAAAAGGTGCATGGTCTAGGTGGGAAACTGTTACACGTCTTCTAGGGAAAAGGTGCGTGGTCTAGGTGGGAAACTGTTACACGTTTTCTAGGGAAAAGGTGCATGGTCTAGGTGGGAAACTGTTACACGTCTTCTAGGGAAAATGTGCATGGTCAAGGTGGGAAACTGTTACATGTCTTCTAGTGAGTGAGTGAGTATAGTTTTACGCCGTTTTTAGGAGGGAGATGGTACATAATCTGTGGAAGATGGTACATGATCTGTGGGAGATGGTACAAGGTCTGTGGGAGGTGGTACATTGTCTGTGGGAGATGGTACATTGTCTGTGGGAGGTGGTACATGGTGCATAGGGAGGTGGTACGTGTCCCTGTGGGGAAGTGGTACATGGTCTGTTGGAGGTGGTACATGGTGCGTAGGTAGATTGTACGTTTCCCTTTGTGGAAGTGGTACATAGTCTTTGGGAGGAGCAGGTACATGGTCTGTGGGAGGTGGTACATGGTGCATAGGGAGGTGGTACGTGTCCCTGTGGGGAAGTGGTACATGGTCATTGGGAGGTGGTACATGGTGCGTAGGTTGGTGGTACGTGTCCCTGTGAGGAAATGGTACATGGTCTGTGGGAGGAGCTGGTACATGGTCTGTGGGAGGTGGTACATGTCCGTGGGAGGTGGTACATTGTCTGTTGGAGGTGGTACATAGTCAGTGGGAGGTGGCACATGGACCGTGGGAGGTAGTACATGATCTATGAGGAGTTGGTACATGGTCTGTGGGAGATGGTACATGGTCTATGGAGGTGGTACAAGGTCTATTGAAGGTAGTACATGGTCTTAGGGAGGTGGTACATATCTGTGGGAGGTGGTACATGATCTGTGAGGAGGTGGTACATGGTCTGTGGGAGATGGTACATGGTATATGGAGGTGGTACAAGGTCTATGGAAGGTAGTACATGGTCTGTGGGAGATGGTACATGTCTGTGGGAAATGGTACATGATCTGTGAGAGGTGGTACATAGTCTGTCGGAGATGGTACAAGGTCTTTGGGAGGTGGTACATGGTCTGTGGGAGGTGGTACATGTCCATGGGAGGTGGTACATTGTCTGTGGGAGATGGTACATTGTCTGTGGGATGTGGTACATTGTATGTTGGAGGTGGTACATGGTCTGTGGGAGGTGGTACATGGTCTGTGGGAGGTGGTACATTGTCTGTGGGGGGTAGTATATGTCTGTGGGAGGTGGTACATGGTCTGTGGGAGGTGGTACATGGTCCTTGGGAGGTGGTACATGGTCTGTGGGAGGTTGTACATGGTCTGTGGGAGGTAGTACATGTCTGTGAGAGGTGGTACATGGTCTGTGGGATGTGGTACATGGTCTGTGGTAGGTAGTACATGGTCTTCGGGAGGTAGTACATGTCTGTTGAAGGTGGTACATGGTCTGTAGGATGTGGTACATGTCTATGGAAGGTGGTACATGTCTGTTGGAGGTGGTACATGGTCTGTGGGATGTGGTACATGTCTGTGGAAGGTGGTACATGTCTGTGGAAGGTGGTAATGGTCTGTTGGAGGTGGTACATGGTCTGTGGTAGGTAGTACATGTCTGTGGGAGGTACTACATGTCTGTGGGAGGTGGTACATGTCTGTGGAAGGTGGTACATGTCTGTGGAAGGTGGTACATGTCTATGGGAGGTGGTACATGGTCTGTGGAAGGTAGTACATGTCTGTGGAAGGTGGTACATGGTCTGTGGGAGGTGGTACATGGTCTGTGGAAGGTAGTACATGTCTGTGGAAGGTGGTACATGGTCTATGGGAGGTGGCACATGGTCTGTGGAAGGTAATACATGTCTGTGGAAGGTAGTACATGGTCTGTGGGAAGTGGTACATGGTCTGTGGGAGGTGGTACATTGTCTGTGGGAGGTGGTACATGGTCTGTGGGAGGTGGTACATGGTCTGTGGATTGTAGTACATGTCTGTGGAAGGTAGTACATGTCTGTGGAAGGTAGTACATATCTGTGGGAAGTGGTACATGGTCTGTGGGAGGTGGTACATTGTCTGTGGGAGGTGGTACATGTCCGTGGGAGGTGGTACATAGTCTGTGGGAGCTGGTACGTGTCCTGATGCGGAAGTGGTACTTGGTATTGGATTGAAAAATCATGGTACATTCACGCTTGTTTGTTGCCCACATCACCTCCTGTGTGACATCAATTTAATCTTTTACGAACACTTCAAACACCAAACGCAATCGTGTTTTGCTAAAGACATAACTATGCTGACATATAAAGTATTTGTCGACATACCACATGTCGTTTGACTAACATACATACATGACTAACATAAAGTCTATGAAATCTTTTATTACGCAATACATTTCTCTCCCCTATTAAAACCAAAACTTTTCATGATGCTATGGAATAGAGCTGGCTAGACTTGCTTTTATATAAATCGAGTTTGTTTTAAAATTAAAATACACATATTCCACAATCATGGCGCAGGACTAGTTGCCATGTACATCTAGTTATCATGTGCAAAGTTCAGTATTAACTTACATGAGGACCTAAATCCACTGCCAAGCACGTGTACGAATTATACTTGCAAATAGGCGTCTATTCGCATTGCCACTACGGTGGCCCATGAGGGACATGGAGTCTGTTTTTCAATATTTTGATATTCCACTTACTTTTATCGTAACCTTTGGCAAATTATCACAATTTGTCATACAAATATGTGATTAATCGTATAAAAACAACCGAAAACATCGAAAATGTACATTCAAGTAGCTATTGAATCGCTGAAATGTGACGCGAAAATGTCAAAAACGAAAATGAAAATGTCAAAAACGAAAATGTTAAAAACAAAAGCGAAAATGTCAAAAACTAAAATGAAAATACAGAAAACTATTTCCACCGCGGTGAGAAAAGTTTTCTGTATTTTCATTTTAGTTTTTGACATTTTCGCTTTTGTTTTTAACATTTTCGTTTTTGTTTTTGACATTTTCATTTTAGTTTTTGACCTTTTCGTTTTACTATGCTGAAAAGTCTAGCGTGGAGATTCCGGGTTAAAATTTGGTAAATGTATGTTGTTCCACCACGACAATGCACCTGTTCACAAGCCTGTGTCACCTTGGCTGCATTGCAAGAGTCTGGACTGATTAAACATCCTCCATATTCACCATATTGGGAGACCCGTGGAGATCCGGGATAGAATAGGTCTTCAGCAACCCATGCTTGCCGCAAAAGGCGACTTTGCTTGTCGTAAGAGGCGACTAACGGGATCGGGTGGACATGCTCGCTGACTTGGTTGATGCATGTCATCTTATCCCAATTGCGTGGATCGATGCCCATGATGTCAATCACTGGATTGTCTGTTCCAGATTCGATTATTTACAGACCACCGTCATATAGCTGGAATGTTGCTGAGTGCGGTGTTAAACAACAAACAAAAAAACATGTTGAGAATATAATTATTATGTCTGTCTCAAGCACACAATGTAAAAGTTTCCTACCTGTATTCAGAACGAGTATGGTTCACGCCACGTCTCCACGACTTTGGAGGAGACAGACGCCGAGGTCACCGGCGAGGTCAGCGGCCACCAGGTGACATTTGTATGTGGCTGATTTACCTGTACAGGTAAACCTACAACTACATTCTCCTAAATACGCCGTGACGCCTGTCTCGTATCTCAGTCAGCGTATCCTGTACTGAACGTGACACTATGAAAACGTCATAAGGGATCACGGCATCGAATAATTTAGTGCATGACCACCATCCTCGGACAAACACAGACACCTGTTGATTTAATGACACCCTTGGCTATCCACTGTATTATATATCCGTTCTATTTTATTTATCCTCTTAGAGACCGCCTCTGTGGTCTAGTGGTAGAGCGCCCGCCCGGAGAGCGGAAGGTCCGGGTCACGACCTCCGGCCGCGTCATACCAAAAGAAATTAAAAGATGGTACTTGTTGTTACCCTGTCTGGCGCTCGGCATTAAGGGGCTAAAACAAGGACTGGTCAGCTCGGAGTCAGTATACTGTGTCTGAGTGGAGTATTCGTGTTAAACTGCGGCATGGTATCTCAGTGAGCTAGCACTATAAATCGGCATCAGTCCGGACTAGTACAAGCAGCCACACACACACACACACACATACACACACACACACACACAAACACACACGCGCGCGCGCGACGTTAAACCCCATTTCACCTCACCTTATCCTCTTAGAATTAAGACACACTGGATAGTCGAGGATGATTTATTAGGGACGCGGGCTCGTGCTGCTTAAGGTCCGGGTTCGATTCCCCAAGTTGGTAAAATGTTTGAAGTCCATTTCCTGTGTCCCCCGTCGTGATATTGATACAGTATTGATAAAAGCTGCGTAAAACCACACTCACTGGCTCAATCACGTGAACATTGGTATCACGTGCCCATTTGTCGACTGAGTGAGTGAGTGAGTTGGGTTTAACGCTGCTTTTAACAGTATTCCAGTTATATCGCGACGTGTCAGCTTAATGTGGGAGGAAAGCCCGAAGTGATGCAGGTCTCGGACGTTTACCACTTCGGTGAAACCCACGAGCACGGGTATGGCGCTAACAAACCTAGAAACATAATCGGGGCGAATAGGGATTCGAACCCACAATCAAAGGGTTGTGGCGTGCCCAAGGGACGCAACTCTGCACAGCGAATCGCGGCGCCTTAGACGACTGGGCCACCCGTGCCCTATTTTGTCGACTGAATGTATATCTGTGGGGTGTTTTTGTCTTCACGTTCCGTTAAACCACAGTGATATCAGTATGTCTTGAACGCCAGAGGTGTGTGTTTGGTGTTTGTTTTGCTAGCGTGAGGACAGCTTGAGTGAGTGAGTATGGTTTTACGCAGCCTTTAGCAATATTCCAGCAACATCACGGCGGTGGACACCAGAAATGGGCTTCACACATTGTACCCATGTCGGGAATCGAACCCGGGTCTTCAGCGTGACGAGCGAACGCTTTAACCACTAGGCTACCCGACCGCCCCAAGGACAGCTTGAAACCCGATATGAGGATGTGATGTATTAAATCTACGGCAAGAAACGTACAACCTTACGGATAGCAACTGGTTTATTGCATATAGCGACGTTTCGGAGTAGTTTCCTACACCCTTATCCAGCTTGATAACGGTGTAAGAATCTACATCAAAACGTCACTACATGCAATAAACTAGTTGTTATCCACAAAGTTATACGTCTTTTTACTCACTAACTTCTAGAATGCCAATCAAACATTTATATCTACAGCAGCTTGAAATTTTGATGTGACGATCCCAAAAGATCCAGGTAGGAAGAAATCTCAAAATTTGGGGGGTCGCTATGTGTTGCAGGGAACACGTCCAAAGGGTTTTGTGAGATTTAAGACCCGAATCCGAGAGATAAAACGAATGAGCGTCATCTCACAAAACCCGAGTGGAAGTTCTTGATCTAACTTATAAACCGAAAAATAAAAAACACCAACATTTATTTACAATTTTATGTTTCTAACATACTTGCCATGAACCTTAGGAAACGGTCGTAAAATATCTCTTGCTGATGTAATTTTGAGTGAGTGAGTATGGTTTTACGCCGCTTTTAGCAATATAACGGCGGGGGGCACCAGAAATGGGCTTCACACATTGTACCCATGTCGGGAATCGCACCCGGGTCTTTGGCGTGACGAGCGAACGCTTTAACCACTAGGCTACCCGACCGCCCCTCGTAATTTGAAAATGGCATTCTTAAGGCATTGTGATTTATCAGCAGACACTGAAATATAAAGAACACATTTGTCGTTTGATTGTATATCATTCCGCACATTTCCTTATGTACATTGTGTTCAAATGCAAAATAAACCACTTGCGAGATAAAATATATAAAATCCCTGGACCCGATGGGAGAACAATGTAGGGTGACGTCACTCGCTCAGTTTAATCAGTTAACAATGTGTTCTCTGCCCCTTGGAGCAGCTTTCGAACATACCAGGGTTGGTATAAAACCGGTTGTTGAGGGGCATTGAACATTTGGGGTAGTTTTAATTGAGTAGATTCACGAAATAACATTCTCCGCCGGTTCACTCGCACGCCGCCGGGCGGTCGGGTAGCCGAGTGGTTAAAGCGTTCGCTCGTCACGCCGAAGACCTGGGTTCGAATCCGACATGGGTACAATGTGTTTCAATATGCACTTGTTCATAACGCAAGACGGAGTACAATTTATAATTTCTGTGTGTTAAAACACAATGTATACACATGCTGACAGTAGAATGGGTTTTCAGCACCCCATGCATGCCGTAAAAGGCGACTTTGCTTGTCGTAAAAGGCGACTTTGCTTGTCGTAAAAGGCAATTTCTGGTGTCCCCCGCCGTGATATTGCTGGAACATTGCTAAAAGCGGCGTTAAACCATACTCACTCACTCACTCACTCGCACGCCACCATCAGCCACAGACCCGCTAAACGAGTAGGCTGTATGTTCGTTGCGCCATAAAAGAAACTCTATACCAGAAGATAACAGCCGACACTTCCTGGTCTTATCGCGTTTAGATATGGTCAAATATTTCCGCTGCTAACACCAACACATCAACAGCCACTTTACTTATAAACTTATCATTATAATGGAGGCCTTAGCCACAAGCACGTCGCTGAGAAGTTGCGTAATCGTAAACTGGTAATCTTATACTTAATATCCGACATCTAACGATCGTTTATGATTAGCGACGACTTCCTCTGTAGCGTTCTGATAAAGCTCGATGACGAGTTTACAGCTTCCCCATGTGTTGAACACTGAATAGCTGCGGTAATCGTATCCCTGTGTTGCTTCCTTTATGAACGATTAAAATTTTGACTTGTCGCTACACAGACAGCAACAAGTCATCAGCATCGTTTATCGGGAACAACACATGGATACGGCAGCTGCACATTGAAGGATTCGTGGACGTTTTTATGATACCAGTGAGTGGGTATGGTTTTACGCCGCTTTTAGCAATATTCCAGCAATATCACAGCGGGGGACACAAGAAATTGGCTTCACACATTGTACCCATGTCGGGAATCGAACCAGGGTCTTCGGCGTGACGAGCTAACGCTTTAACCACATCGCCCCTTTTATGATACCAATCTTCAAAACATTTACATGTACATACATTGTGGTATTTCGATTGAAATGTATTTTGTTTAAGATTATGTACCAGATAATGATTCATTTGCATTACTGAGTTTCAAAAATAGCATCTGTTGTCTAACTAGCGGAAGACCCATCTCACGTGTCTCTACTTAATAACCTTAATTCAAACACAGTTGGCCTGTCAAAGGTACATAGCTGTATAGCAGGGCGTGGAGTCGGCCTGTCAAAGGTACATAGCTGTATAGCAGGGCGTGGAGTCGGCCTGTCAAAGGTACATAGCTGTATAGCAGGGCGTGGAGTCGGCCTGTCAAAGGTTACATAGCTGTATAGCAGGGCGTGGAGTCGGCCTGTCAAAGGTACATAGCTGTATAGCAGGGCTTGGAGTCGGCCTGTCAAAGGTTACATAGCTGCATGTATAGCAGGGCATGGAGTCGGCCTGTCAAAGGTACATAGCTGTATAGCAGGGCGTGGAGTCGGCCTGTCAAAGGTACATAGCTGTATAGCAGGGCGTGGAGTCGGCCTGTCAAAGGTACATAGCTGTATAGCAGGGCGTGGAGTCACCCCTCTGTTGACATCGTAACCTTGTCAGCTTGCTTACGGGATGGGGTTGGCGGTTGGGGTTTGGTTTGGTTTGGGAGTTGGGGGTTACCTCTTTGATTATGTGGACAAGGCTTCCGACCTCGAACTATCAGAGTTTCGTGGTTTGAATCCCATGACGGGACTCCGACATTTTATGCATTATGCATAATGATATTTTTGCTTTAGAAATACAAATTCTTATAATGTCTGTTTCGCCTTAGGATAAATGTATTAGTCCGATATTGGCATATATCAATAACTGAAAACTAACCAGTTAGTCTAGAAGTTTAACGTATTCTCAACTACCTCATAGAAACAATCACAAAAGCCGACCCAAATGGCAACAGTGCATGCTTCTTGTTTGACTTGAGACAGGGTGTCCATATAAAAGTAATTTATCATTATAATTTTGTCAATAGCATGCACGTTATCTCCTGATATATGCATAGATGCTGTATACATAAACCTGTTGCTAGGGAAAATCTTGGAACCCAAAGTAAATCAGCTTCAGAAAGACATCTTGTCATTTGACACGATGCTGAAAACTGTGAGGGGAATCCCCGAATACCACTGACGTCATTGGGATGATGTCTATTTATAGAAACATGACCAACGAATTCATGCAAATGACACACTGAAACATTTCGTTCAGATTTGATGTTATCTGATTAAAAGCTTCGTAACATAAGTTATCTGTTCATTATTATATACGGTGTGAAATATATCGACGTTGTGTCTATTGTAAACATTCAACAAGTGCAAGTACTCGTTACTCTTCAGGACGGAAGGAGTAAATGTTGCATTCCAATATGGCGGCGACAAAAGTTTTCGTCACAGACAAATATTGAGCAACAAATGATCACCTGCTGGCGATAGGATATCGCCTGGGACAATTTCTTACAGCCATTTATATGTTTCATACACTGTTCCAGCAAAATGACAACAAATTACGAAAGTTCGTTGAAGACCTATCTAGCTAAGGTAAGTTTTGATGGCTTATTTTCTGTCTCGATAATCAATGGGTTTTTTAACTGAACTGAGAATTAGGGCTAATCAGTAGAGTCCCTGGATGAATGAACATATCTTATAGAGGTCATACACATTAGTTTACATTCAACTATTCAATATGTGTTCATTCTTTAAAATTAATTGCTTTCTTTTATTCTCCAGTATTTCAATATGACCAGGTTTTACCAATGAATCTGTGTGAATGTGTACGTAAACAGTGGTCCTAGTAAAGGCAAGGAGTAATAAAATAGAGTTTATCCGATCTACTTCGTTACATGCATAATACTTATGGACATTTTTCTCCCGTGAAACAATCATCATGTTAATGATTACCTTTTCCATGATGGCAATGGTAAACATTTCAGTTCCTCTATATCATAGGGTATAAACATGGCCCGTAATCATTATTTGTTGTGATTTTGTATATTTGCATGGAATTAGTCAAGTCTTGGGGTTTCAGACATACTGATTGTCATCCATTTTTTTTTTTAAATTTGGTAAATATGTTGAACTGGCTGAAGAATGTTCTGTACAAAGTTGGCAAAATCATAAATGTCCTAATGTCGTTTCTCTTGAGTAAAATCACTCAGGGTGTGGTGAGAATAGAATGAATACACCAGAGGTCCAGATAAGCTGCATATCTGCGTGAAATACGCATTAGAAATGCAGAAATATGCAGTAAAATATGATCCAAGCGTATCAAATACGCAACGAACATTACAGATACGCTACAAATATAAAATTTGTGCATATCATCAAAATATTGTGAAGTAACCCTGCGTATTCGATTAGCAAATCAGCAACTTATTTTGAAATTATAAACGGGCATTCCGTCAACCTTGCCAAACTCCACGATGACAGTTACATCATGATCATTTGCCATCACACTTTCTTGTGGAAGTATTGCAGTATTTTTGAGTCCTATAAAGCTCTCAAACCCACACGACACCAGTTTGCAGGGACTAGATGAATAGTGTTTTTAAATATTTAACTTAAATACCCACATGTGTAAAAACTAGTGGGTAACAGAAATTTGAATACGCAGATAGAATTACTGATACCCAATGATTTTAAAATGCATGGGTAAAATACCCACAACACCAAAAGCTTATCTGGAGCTCTGATACACTCATTTACATACGTACGCAGATCATGTAAACATATATATACACATGTCAATAATTCAACCCAAACTGTCAAGTGTTGATAACTGTAGAAAGTTTTAATATTGATCGTCTTGATTTTTCCAAAAAGTAAATGATATTGAATGATAATAAAAAATAAAGGGGCGACACCAGTCCTTAATAATAGTGTATGTAACCATGGTCATGGTAACATAACTAGATTTTGTGAGAAAACAGTCCTTCCAGATTTTCATTAATTTGGGGACTTGTGGTTATGTCCAAACCTAGTCAAGCCATGAACTATATATTCAACATTTTCAAAGACAAATGTAAATGTAGCCATGTACATTTGTAGATTATACATTATATAATATAATTATTACAGACTGATAAGTCTTCTGTGTACACAACAAGTGACTCACCAAGATAGACTGGGGTGGCTTGATCTAGTTCAGAGCTCCAGATAAGCTTTTGATGTTGTGGGTATTTTTCCCATGCATTTTAAAATCATTGGGTATCAGTAATTCTATCTGGGTATTCAAATTTCTGTTGCCCACTAGTTTTTACACATGTGGGTATTTAAGTTAAGTATTTCAGCGGTAGAAACTAACAGTTTCAGTCGACTAGTCTTCACAATGATAACATGTAGCAAATCCCTTACAAATGGCAGATTTCTACAAGTCCTTTGATACCTTAACTATTGGGCAGTCTGGCAAGGACTACAGGACTAGTGCCAATTTCTAACGCTGTACATTGTATTTAAAAACACTATTCATCTAGTCCCTGCAAACTGGTGTCGTGTGGGTTTGAGAGCTTTATAGGACTCAAAAATACCACGATACTTCCACACGAAAGTGTGATGGCAAATATCATGATGTAACTGTCATCGTGGAGTTTGGCAAGGTTGATGGAATGCCCATTTATAATTTCAAAATAAGTTGTTGATTTGCTAATTGAATACGCAGGGTTACTTCACAATATTTTGATGATACGCACAAGTTTTATTTTTGTAGCATATCTGTTATGTTCGTTGCCTATTTGATACGCTTGGATTTTATTTTACTGCGTATTTCTGATGCGTATTACGCAGATATGCAGCTTATCTGGAGCTCTGTAGTTTTAATGTGTATTGGAGTAAAAAGTCATAACTCTAACTTTCTTTACATTTCACACTGCTAGGCATCTCTGATTGGGAATGAAAATAACCAGACAGTTCACTATAACCTTTGTAAAAAGACACAAACATTGCTGGACTGATTATGTTTTTACGCCGCTTTTAGCAATATTCCAGCAATATCACAGCAGGGAACACCACACATTGTACTCGTGGGGAAATGAACCCAGGCCTTTGGCTTGACGAGTGAAATTTAACCACTTGGCTACCCAACACCCCTGACAGAATTTGAAAGTTATTTCAGTTTACATGTTTTAGTTTAAGAATTTAAATCTTTAAAGAGCCAGTGTACATTTTTAGTCCAGTCAAACAACAGAACCTAACCTTTAAAGAAAAAAGAAAGACGTTTAAGTTTTGTGCTTCAAAGAAATCATAATACAGTCAAGTCTCGTTAATCCGACACTCGTTAATCCGACAATCGGCTTTATCGGACACTAATGATTGGAACCGATTAAATCAGTGCTATTTAGACTTGTTAATCTGACAGTCTCGCACTCTGACCCCGACACCCCTAATTTGCAATGAATTACAGAAATCACTCATTAATCCAATAGTGATCAGGGCATGTCATCTGCCCGCGAGTTTACAGCCCGTGTTTTGATGCAAGACAAGTCTTAAACTTTGCGGTACCAGTTTCACACTTGCGACTTCCATTCCAGAATATGTTTTCAATGAACTTTGTTACTTGTTAATTTCGTTTATCCGACATAATCATATGCAACCAACCATGTCGGAATAACGGGACTTGACTCTATGTTAAATACGAACATAATCACATTTACTTTCACCTTGGGTACATGTCTACCAATGTTGAGATATAATACGTAATAAGCGCCCAGGGCGCTCTCAAAATTAGAAATAGGGGGCTCTTATTACAATATTATGTTGCTGAAAAAAACAGAGTTGAAAGATAAATTTCGTGGTTTATAGTGACAGCCTGAAATGTTTATGTACGACAGATATATTTTTCAAAAATTTAATTGCCCATAATTAAGGATGCATATAACACACGAGTGTGTATTATACGCAAATAAATAAGTCTTGTGTACATTGATCAATGGGAAGGGGTGCTAATTGGGATTGTTCACTAGCCAATATATCAGCAAATGTCCCCGTGGGCGCTTCTTAGAGCTGGGTGCTTATTATGTCGAATACGGTATTTCTCTGTGTTCCTCACTGGGTTGTACATGTGTTTCAGTACAAGTACCCTGATGCAGCCAAGAGAGAGGTGACCAACATCCTGGGACAGTACCGTGACCTCCGACCCAGCCATGACAACTTTGGTAAGTTTACAGACCCTCAAACACAAATACCACACAGTGATATGCCCAGAGCTACAGATAAGCAGCATATTTGCATAAAATCCCCCCCAAAATATTCAAAACCCAATTACTTTCAATTAACTTACATACAGCGTGTACAGAGATGCATGCATTAAATAAAAAACTCAAATGTATAAAAACAGCTTGCGTAAATACCTTTGAAGCTTTTTCAGCATGCGTACAAAGGAGCTAATTTCTGAAACACAATTACAAGCTAATTTTCTTTCGAGTCAAGTCTATATACTTAGAACATTTATATACATCTAAAACATTATTTCATTTTTTTTAAATCTTAAAATGTTCACAAATTTTCGGAAAAACCCAATAGAATGATGAATAGATGAGTAGTATAGGTAATAGGGGTTCTGCCGCAACTCCTCTGGAGCCAGATTTATATGAAAAACAATTGGTTACCCAATGAAAAATGTAATACTAATAACCAAATTAAAATAGAAACCCTAGAGTAAAAACTCAATTGTTTAAAAGGTTATGGCTCTGTATGCCATAAGCAATATATGTCACACACCCTTCCTGCCCAACCGCAAAGGAACAATATCATGAACTGATTCTGACTTTTTTGTGTTTCAGTGTTCAATGACGGCACTCAGAAACAGCTGCTCAACTTGGAGGGAACCATTCCAGTGCCATATAAAGGTGGGTGTGGCCTGGAGAGGGTGTGGCCCGGAGAGGGTGTGGCCCAGAGAGGGTGTGGCCCAGAGAAGGTGTGGCTCATGGGTATGAACAATGAAGGGGAAGAGAAATGGGGTCATCAGCAATGGTGACCGCCTCCATGGTCTAGTGGTAGAGTATCTGCCTGGAGAGGAGAAGGTCCGGAGCTCAATCCGCGGCCCCGTCCTCCCAAAAGATGGTACTTGTTGTTACCCTGTCTTGTGCTCGGCATTAAAGGGCTCAAAAACAAGGACTGGTCGGCTCGGAGTCAGTATACTGTGTCTGAGTGGGGTATTCATGTTAAACTGTGGCATGGTATCTCAGTGGGCTAGCACTATAAAATCGGCATCAGTCTGGACTAGTACAAGCAGCCCCATACACACACACATACATGCATGTCAGTATGTAAGTGCAATAATCTTGAATGCGACGTCAAACCCCACCTCGCCTCACCTCATCATATCCCGACGGTGTGGATCGTTGGTGACATATACATCACTGGATTGTCTGGTCAAGACTCAATTACTTACAGAAAGCCATCATATAGGTGGAATATTGCTGAGTGCGTCATTAATCAACAAACACGCACAGAGTAACAGTATAAGCACACTGTTATGTATTGGTTAGCTCCTTCCTCAATGGTGATATAGACTTTCAATGCTTGAGATGTTATCCAACCGCACTGACGTCCACATCACCCTCAGTGGGGTGGTGCTAACCAACTAATGTCACATGGGCCAAGCACACGATGTGCCTTACTCAATGACGCAAAACCACAAACCGAGGCTTTCTCCACTCTCATCTGAATTGAATCGTCCAAACCTGTGCAGAGGTTGTTACAAAGAATACCGACTCGCTAAAACAATGGACATAACACATTTGAGTTGTATAGAGTTGGTTGGATGGTTTGTTGTTTAACGCCGCACTCAGCAATATTCCAGCTATATGACAGTGGTCTGTAAATAATCAAGCCTGGACCAGACAATCCAGTGATTGATATCATGAGCATCGATCCACGCATTTGGGATCGATGACATGCATCAACCAAGTCAGTGAGCCTGACCAACCGATCCTGTTAGTCGCCTTTTACGACAAGCATGGTCGCTCCTTACGGCAAGCGTGGGTTGCTGAAGACCTATTCTACCCCGGATCTTCACGGGGCTGAGTGGTATAGAGAATTAAAGCTATGTTGTTTGGTTGCAGGAAACGTGTACAACATCCCGATGTGTATCTGGATCATGGACACCCACCCCTACAACCCACCCATGGCGTACGTCCGCCCCACCAGCTCCATGCAAATCAAACCCAACAGATACGTGGACGCCAATGGCAAGGTGGATCTGCCCTATCTCAGAGAGTGGAAATATGTGAGTGAACATTTGTGGGGATTTCAGGCGAAGAATTATTCCTTTGTAATTCAATATTCATTTGCTGATATGTCATATATTTACATAAATATTTTTAAGTAGTGATAGTTAAACAAGGTTAACATGCTTAAGAGAGATAAAGAAAGTGTGGAACTCAAAAACAAATAATAATTGTAATTCATTAGGCTCTGCATATATTTGCTTTGATCATTAAACAGTCTGCGCAAAAATTATAAGACTTCTTCCCTAAACTTTTATTTTGGCATTATTTTCAGTACATTTTATTCTTAGCATATTGACAAGCATTAGCTTAGTTTATTAGACGGGGGCATGAGTGGCCCAGCCGTCTAAGGCGCCGTGATTAGCTGTGCAGAGTTGCGTCCCTTGGGCACACCAGAAACATATGATCGTGGGTTCGAATCCGGGTTCGCCCAGATTATGTTTCTAGGTTTGTCAGCACCATACCCGTGCTCGTGGGTTTCACTGAAGAGGTAAATGTCTGAGACCTGCATCACTTCGGGCTTTCCTCCCACATTAAGCTGACACGCCTCGATATAACTGGAATACTGTTAAAAGCGGCGTTAAACCCAACTCGCTCACTTACTCACTGTTTTGAATTGGAGCCATGGGATCAGTAGTGTGCTGATGTCTGGTTGTTTTATGCATACTTTAGTTACTCACTAGAGTCTGGTACGTTTCCTCTCCAGACTGGTTCCGATCTGCTGAGTCTCATCCAGATTCTCATCTTCTCGTTTGGGGAGGAGTGTCCTGTGTTTTCCCGACACGCCCCATCACAGCCCCCACCTTACCCCATGGGTCAGGGCGGGGGAGGAGGACCCCCCATGGGGGGACAGCCCCCGTACCCCACCGGTCAAGGTAGGTATTGCACCACCACCCATATGCATACTGTGACCAGACAATAGGTTATATGTTAGTGGCAGATACCCAGTTTTTATTACCAAACAGGCAGTGGGGTAGTCTAGTGGTTAAAGCGTTCACTTGTTATGGCGAAGACCCGAGCTTGATTCCCTGCATGGAGGGCACGGATGGCCCTGTCGTCTAAGGCGCCGCAATTCGCTGTGCAGAGTTGCGTCCCTTGGGAACGCCAGAAACCTATGGTTGTGGGTTTGAATCCCTGTTCGCCCCGATTATGTTTCTAGGTTTGTCAGCACCATACCCATGCTCGTGGGTTTCACCGAAGTGGTAAACGTCTTAGACCTGCATCACTTCGGGCTTTCCTCCCACATTAAGCTGACTCGCCGTGATATAACTGGAATACTGTTAAAAGCGGCGTTAAACCCAACTCACTCACTGATTCCCTACATGGATACAATATGTGTCCCCTGCCGTGATACTGCTGGAATATTGCTTAAAGCAGCGTAAAACCATACTCACTCACTCACTTTAGTACCAGAATACAACATTGTAGAAATTAGGGTGAAAGTGTAGTAGCAACTGCTTAATAAACCAAAACATAAGTGATGATGAAATGTGATGTTGCAGTGAACATGCCGATGCCTGGAGCAGCACATGGAGGAAGCAATCCCCCCTACCCCCCTTACTCCGGTGGGCAGCCTGGCTACCCCAGTACCGGCTACCCTCCTTACCCTGCACCAGGGGGTGGAGGGTACCCTCCTCAGGGGGGACAGAATTACGGGGGCTTCCAGGGCTACCCCAGCCAAGGTCAGGGTTACACTGGCGGCAGTCAGGGCCAGTATCCACCCTACTCCTACGGCAGCGGTTCCAACCCCCCCTACCCTCCCTCTACAGCAGCGTATCCAGCAACATCGGCGGCAACAAGTAAGTCTGATTATTTGTGTATGTGACCGTCTCCTCAGTTCACGATTGGATGTGCTATGTGACACAATCGTCATTTTGGATAAAACTGTGAAAAATTGATTTAACAAAATGTATTTATTTATTTGAAAATCCCAAAATGTTCCAAAAACAGATTAGTTATGCTGTCATTAATAATTTGTTTATTCTGATGATTTCATTGGGTACATATGATCAAAGCGCTCAGAACATATTTATTTTGTCAAATGTAGCTCTCTACATTCATGTACCGTATTCGACGTAATAAGCGCCCCGCTCTAATAAGTGCCCATGGCAATATTTGCTAATATATTGGCTCGTGAACAATCCCAATTAGCACCCTTTCTGATTGATCAATGTACACAATACTTATTTATTCGCGTAAAATATGCACTCGTGTGTTATATGCACCCTTAATTATGGGCAATTAAATTCTGGAAAAATATATCTCTCGTATATAAACATTTCAGGCTGTCAGCATAAACCATGAAATTTATCTTTCAACTCTGTTTTTTTTGGACAAAATAATATTCTAATAGGAGCCCCCTAGTTCTAATTTTGAGAGCGCCCTGGGCGCTTATTACGTCGAATACAGTATTATAAATATCCCCTGCCACGAAGTAAGGGGGAGAAAACGTCAATCTATCCATCCATCCATTTGTCCATCCATACTCTTCTCAAAGGGGACAATTTTGTCAAAACTTTTAAAGTCAGAGAAATGAAATTTTACACAATGGTGTTACTGATCATGATCTAAAATGAGATCGAAAGTTGGTGTCCTAAATTCATTTTATACCGAGTTAAGTCTCTTGATCCGTGCTTTTCAGCTAAGAGGATACTGCGGGAAATGGGGACAAGTTTTCTCGGTAACCACTGAAGTAAAATGAATGAAAGTTTGCATGCTTATCTAAGAGATACTTGTCAAGACTGAGTTCGATAATTGGCCCATAAATAATTTTTTTTACAGAGTTACAGCCCTTGATCCATGTTTTTTTACTTAGTGCACAGTGTCTGCAATTAGCTTATCTAAGAGATACTTCTCAAGACTGAGTTATTTTTTCCAGGGGTCTTTTGTGTGTATTAATATTCCCTTTAATCATTTTTTCTGATGGCGTAAAGCAGCCCAAGTGACTGTCTCTTCTTAAGGCTCTATAGGACTCTTTTTTTATAGTTTATATTCACTACTATATGAACAAACAAAACTGTAATGTGCCTCATGGCAGAGGATAGTGGTGGCTTTCCCCTTATTATAATTAGGATGCTCATTGAGAGGTAATAGATATTTGGTGGCACGGGTGGCCCAGTCGTCTAAGGCGCCGCGACTGCTGTGCAGAACTGCGTCCCTTGGGCACGCCAGAAACCTATGATTGTGGGTTCGAAATCCCGGTTCGCCCCGATTATGTTTCTAGGTTTGTCAGCACCATACCCGTGCTAGTGGGTTTCACGGGAAGTGGTAAACGTCTGAGACCTGCATCACTTTGGGCTTTCCTCCCTCATTAAGCTGACACGCCATGATATAACTAATACTGTCTAAAGCGGCGTTAAACCCAACTCACTCACTCACTATTAGATATTTACTTAAGTGAATACAGCAGGGGCTGTCCTAATTTCCGTCTGTCATTCCATCGAGCCAGCAATGTCCGTCTGTTATTCCATCGAGCCAGCAATGTCCGTCTGTCATTCCATCGAGCCAGTCTCATGCTCATGTCCTTGTTTGTGTCCAGCAACTAGCACAGCGGTTGGTCGACCTGGAACCGGCACCGTGACGGAGGCTCACATCCGGGCCTCACTCCTCTCAGCAGTGGAAGACAAGATGCGCAGGAGGCTGAGAGAAACATTTGCTCAGGCACAGGTTAGTTGCTAAGCATCGGGTTTAGAACATATCTTCAGCATGCTTGTAGTAAGAGGAATCGGATGGAACTGGGTGGTCGGGTTCACTGACTTGGTTGATGCATGTCATCGTATCCCAATTGCGTAGATTGATTCTGATGTCAACCACTGGATTGTCTGGTCCAGATTTGATTATTTACAGACTGCCGTCATATTCCTGGAAAATTGCTGAGTGCAGCATGAAACAACAAACAAACAAACAAAAAGGATGTTGCAATATATTCAGTGATCTGTTTGTTTGTTTGTTTGATGGCGGTCTGTAAATAATCGTGTCTGAACCAGACAATCCAGTGACTGACATCATGAGCATCCACCCAACCAAGTCAGCGAGCCTGGCCACCTGATCCTGTTAGTCACCACTTATGACAAGCATGGGTTGCTGAAGACCTATTCTACCCCGGATCTTAACAGGTTTTCAGTGATCTGAGAAAGCTTTACCCAAGTACAAAGTCTAAGATGAGGATTAGATGTCATTGTACCATTTTACTCGGATGACATGGATCCTTGCTCATGCTATCAACCTCTGGTTTGTATTGCTCAGATGTGATTATTTACAGGTTGCTGGAATATTGCTGTATATCAAAACTACTTAATGAACTCACATTTGCTCAGATAAACTTTTGTAGTGAGCTAGTTATTACACGTACTGTCACCATAGCAACACAAGTCAGGGCAAAAAGAAACAGCTTAGGTACTGGAAATGAACGTCATGACCATAGCAGGACTATGTTCTAATGTGTACCAGAACACAACTATAGTCTGGAAAGTTATTTAAGGTACCAACGTTTACTACAATATCTGAAAAACTATTGGACCTACTCCAGTCAAAGTTTGTATGAGATTATTAAACAGTCATACACAACTGGATATTACATTCAAAGACAATTGGTGCATGTATAAAAAATCTGTCTATTTAGCTATCACTATATTTCATCAACAACCAGACCTTATCGTCACGGGTGGAACGAGCATTCATTGAATCAGCCATCTGCATAATGCTACCCCTGCGTCACAGGGCCATATGACACAGTTGAACCAGTCAACTCAACTCGAAAGGGTGCACGGGAATCACCCACGTTGAGACGCCCAAGGCTAACACCGTATTCATGCGTGCGTGATTCCCGTGCACTCTACTGTAGTAAACGTCGGTACCTTAAATTACCTTCCAGACTATACTGTTGTTGATGTTGCAGGCCGAGATGGAGGTGCTGAAGAAGACGCAGTCGGACCTAATGAGTGGCAAGGATAGGCTGGAGAGGATGGTGCGCGACCTGGAGACAGAGAAGGTGAATACCTCGTCATTCAGACCCGGATACCTTTACAGATTACAGTCCCTCTCAAAGTTTATCTTCCCTCTATAAAAGTCATCTGGGTCACCTGACAAGATACTTCATGTAATTGACCAATGGGTGTGACATACAAGTTGTTACTCCATCAGGAACGCCACATTCTCCAAGGGCCATGAGCAGACAGTGCTAAGACCAATGTATCCCCCCATTTTTTAACATAGGGACCCGTGAAGATCCGGGGTAGAATAGGTCTTCAGCAACCATGCTTGCCGTAAAAGGCGACTATGCTTGTCGTAAAAGGCGACTAACGGGATCGGGTGGTCAGGCTCGCTGACTTGGTTGATACAGGTCATCGATCCCAATTGCGTGGATCGATGCTCATGATGTCAATCACTGGATTGTCTGGTCCAGACTCGATTATTTTACAGACGGACGTCATATAGCTGGAATATTGCTGAGTGCGGCGTTAAACAACAAGCAAACAAAAAAATTTAACATAGGCCTTCAATAATGTTAGCGCTAAAATCTCTTGGTGTAAATGAGTCTAGTTATTCCTCATATTCTACAAGTTTCTTTCAATGATGATGAGGGCGGCGTTAGAAATTGGCACTGGTCCTAGAGCCCTTGCCAAACTGCCCAATAGTTAAGGTATCATAAGGACTAGTAAAAACTTTCCCTTTGTATGGGCTTTGCTCTATGTTATCATAAGGACTAGTGGACTAAAACTGTTTATTTCTATCACTGTGAGAGGTAGGTGGGGTGGTCAAGTGGTTAATGTGAAGGCCAATGCCTAGAATGGAATCCCCAGATGGGTACAATGTGTCGAACCCATTTCTGGTGTTCCCTGCTGTGATATTGCTGAGTATTGCTACAAGTGGCAAAAAAACATACACTCTCTCTGTGATGATGACACATCAGCCATGTTTGTTTTTTACATCTTTGTTTCCTGTTGTGTTTTAATGTACACCTAGGCCAATATCATATCCTATTTGAAGAGTACAGTATAAGCAACCCATGCTTGCTGTAAAAGGCAACTATGCTTGTCATAAGAGGCAACTATGCTTGTCGTAAGAGGCGACTAACGGGATTGGGTGGTCAGGCTTGCTGTCTTGGTGATGCATGTCATCGATCCCAATTGCATGGATCTATGCTCATGATGTCAATCACTGGGTTGTCTGGTCAAGACTCAATTATTTACACACTGCCACCATACAGCCGGAATATTGCTGAGTGCGGCGTTAAACAACAAACAAATCAAACAAAGAAACCAAGATACAGTATAAGATAATAATTTTTCACCGGGTGCACGGGTGGCCCAGCCGTCTTAGGCGCCGCAATTCGCTGTGCAGAGTTGCGTCCCTTGGGCACGCCAGAAACCTATGGTCCTGGGTTCGAATCCCGGTTCGCCCCGATTATGTTTCTAGGTTTGTCAGCACCGTACCCATGCTCGTGGGTTTCACCGAAGTGGTACACGTCTGAGACTGCATCACTTCGGGCTTTCCTCCCACATTAAGCTGACACGCCGTGATATAACTGGAATACTGTTAAAAGTGGCGATAAACCCAACTCACTCACTCACTCACTGCTGTGTCCATGTTTGTAGGAGGAGATTGATCGGAACATCCAGCTGCTGAACCAGAAGGATGTTGAGGTGAAGGATGCCCTGCGCAAACTGGAGTCCAATGATCAACTAGAAATTGACGATGCTGTTGTCACGACAACACCACTATACAGACAGTGAGTACTGATGATGACACTTTCCTATGAAGGTGACCCATGAAGATCAGGGGTGGAATAGGTCTTCAGTAACCCATGCTTGCTGTAACTATGCTTGTCGTAAGAGGTGACTAACAGGATCGGATGGTCAGGCTTGTAGACTTGGTTGATGCAAGTCATCGTATCCTAGTTGTATGTATCAATGCTCATTGAAGGGACATAACTTGTAATAGCCACTGGTGGCACTACGATCGAGCCCAGTAATTCCAGCCTAGTTCGGCAAGGGTGGAAACTGGACTTTTAAAGTCAATTAACTCTCTTGCCTCGGGGAGATGGTTAAACTGCAGCATGGTATCTCAGTGGGCTAGTGCTATAAACCGGCGTAAGTCCGGACTAGTACAAGCAGCCACACACACAAACACGCACGTCGCTATATAAGTGCAATAATCTTGACGCAACATTAAACCCCATTTCACCTCACCTCACATTGGTAAGATTTAACTTTACATCAGCAATGCTTCCACTATGTAGCAACAGGGACAACACCCGTCACCAATACATCAAAGTTAAGTACAGTAAACTACGGTTATAACGAACACGCTTATAACGAACTGACGGATATAAAGAACTTACTTTTTTGGTCCCGACTATTTGCATAAAGACAGAGCTCCAGATAAGCTCTTGGTGTTGTGGGTATTTTACCCATGCATTTTAAAATCATTGGGTATCAGTAATTCTATCTGGGTGTTCAAATTTCTGTTACCCACTAGTTTTTACACATGTGGGTATTTAAGTTAACTATTTAAAAACACTATTCATCTAGTCCCTGCAAACTGGTGTCGTGTGGGTTCAAGAGCTTTAAAGGACTCAAAAATACCACGATACTTCCACAAGAAAGTGTGATGGCAAATGATCATGATGTAACTGTCATCGTGGAGTTTGGCAAAGTTGACGGAATGCCCGTTTATAATTTCAAAATAAGTTGTTGATTTGCTAATTGAATACGCAGGGTTACTTCACAATATTTTGATGATACGCAAAAGTTTTATTTTTGTAGCATATCTGTTATGTTCGTTGCGTATTTGATACGCTTGGATTTTATTTTACTGCGTATTTCTGATGCGTATTTTACGCAGATAAGCAGCTTATCTGGAGCTCTGGTATCATATATAACAGCTATACTATAGGTCTCCCGTAGAGATTCTGGTTTAGAATATGTCTCAAACAACCAATGCTGGTTGTGAAATGTCCCCAACTGGATCAGGGGTCAGGCTTGTGACTTGGTTGATAGCCTTTTCTCATACCCCGACGGCGTTGATTGTTGCTCACAATATTGATCAGTGGGTCAGGATTGTGACTTGGTTGATCGCCTTTCCTCATACCCCGACGGCGTTGATTGTTGCTCATAATATGGCTCAGTGGGTCAGGCTTGTGACTTGGTTGATCGCTTTTCCTCATACCCAGATGGCGTTGATTGTTGCTCACAATATCGATCAGTGGGTCAGGCTTGTGACTTGGTTGATAGCCTTTTCTCATACCCCGATGGCGTTGATTGTTGCTCACAATATCGATCAGTGGGTCAGGCTTGTGACTTGGTTGATCGCCTTTCCTCATACCCCAACGGCGTTGATTGTTGCTCACAATATCGATCAGTGGGACAGGCTTGTGACTTGGTTGATCGCCTTTCCTCATACCCCAACCGTGTGGATTGTTGCTCACAATATGGATCAGTGGATTGTCTGGTCCAGACTTAGTATTTCCAGACCTCCATATTCCTGAGTGTGGCGTTAAACAGCAAACAAACATACTGTAATAGCTATTGGCGATGTCATCTGTGGATTATATATTATATCTGTGGATTATATTGTTATATGAAAGATTGTGGGGTTTATGAAGAACGATAAACCTTAAACATTTTAGTGAAAACTTATGATCGGAAATAGTAACATGCATAAATATTTTTAATAATGACAACATTGGTGTATAATGATAAATTTATTGATCATTTATAACAATAGTTGTCGTGGCAACTTCTAAACTTTTAGGAAAGTGTAATCTATCGGACCGTCATTCAGTAGATGGTTCTGACAGATCACAATCTGAAAAATACTATCATGAAAGTGTATCCCGTGGACACGCCGGCTCCTTTCTACCATGAAGGTTTGGTTTTGGTTTGGTTTGTTGTTTTACGTCTCACTCAACAATATTCCAGCTACTACCATGAAGTGGCGGTCGGGTAGCCTAGTGGTTAAAGCGTTCGCTCGTCACGCCGAAGAGCCGGGTTCGATTCCTGACATGGGTACAATGTGTGAAGCCCATTTCTGGTGTCCCCAGCCGTGATATTGCTGGAATATTGCTAAAAGCGGCGTCAAACCATATTCACTCACTCCTTTCTACCATGTACAGAATCTTTTTTCTGGGCCTCAAAATTTGGCTTATCTGCGGACATAGACGGTACTATAGAACTGTCTATTGATCACTGTGTATGGATCTGTCCCTGTGTTGCAGGTTACTGAACGCCTTCGCTGAGGAACAGGCCATAGAGGACACAGTGTATTACCTGGGAGAGGCACTGCGCAAAAATGTAGTGGATTTAGAAGTCTTTCTTAAGGTAGGTCTGAAATCAACATCTGAAATCACCTTGAACTGTGTTGCTAGCTCACTAAATATACACCCACAAATGTGAACACTTTGTTTTGGTAAATTTGTTATCTTACTTCCATGATATTTAAGAAAAGGAACAAGATAAAAGTTTTTTTATGTGTTTTGCTGAAACAGCTGTATGTAAAGCAGACTTACCTTGTTTTAGACTTTCGTAAAATATTTTCCAAAAGGTGATATATTTTAGGCTAAAAAAAGAAAATAGTCTTGGTTCTCGGGCACCACCTGCATCATCATAAAATCTGCCACATGTTTCATTTTTTAATTCCATTCCCCCCCCTCAAAAAAAAATACATGTACTAAAAAAATGTGATCTATTATAGCACGCAGTTACTTCCCTTTATATGGCCACTGCTTTACTACTGTCTAATGCTGTGGTCATGGCGGCAATTGTATCCTAGTTTATGAAGGGAGGCCCTTTCCTAGGTTGAAGGTACACAACTGTATATTTGTTTACATACTAGTTTGAACAAGCCGAAAGAAAACGAAAAAAAACACCGCCCGCACCGCATGATATTTTTAAAATTCATTGCCTTGGAACCAATTTATTATTTCAGGCCTCAGTATTATGGAGAAATTGTTTGATTAAAATGCTGACGTTTGTTCAGTGTCTGTCTTTGTTGACATATAAAACGGTTGACTGTACGTTCAGGTGAGCTACAGCGGCCTGGCACTCTATTCATAGTTAATATGTACATATACTTATGTTTGCTTATGTCTTCTCTTACAGCAAGTCCGAGAGTTGTCAAGAAAACAGTTCCTTCTACGAGCACTGATTCAGAAATGTCGAGAAAAGGCTGGGTTGCCTCCCTTGGCTTAACCTACCCCACTTGAAACTAAGCCTCTCAATGACTGTGGTCAGCTATGCTATTGACCCAATGAAAAGAAATGGTTATTGGCTGATACACTGTCACGAAGACCAAGTCAGTATCAAGCTATTTGATCTGCAAGTCACATGATCACAAGCTAACCAAACTCATCACAATCGGTCTCAAGATTAACAAATTTCAGTATTTTACATCTATGTTCTCTTAATTATATGAAAAATATTTTCTTGTGGCCATAAGTGGACAGAAATATGTGAATGTAAGTTTTTTGGGGACAATCTAAATGAAAACTCTATTTTGACGTAAATGTAATATATTATTGAGAGTTCGGAAAGGTCAGTTCATTTAATCATCTCCGTGGTCAGTGTCCGTACTGGTCAGGTGAAACAGGATCTCCGATAAGATGGTCCTCCTGATACAAGGCTTGTTAAGCTTGTAACTAACTAATGTACAGATGGTTGTAAATAATGTTCCATTGGGAGTTCTGTACTGAATTCCTATGCCTAGCTACAGTAAAAAGTGATTAACCCGATCGGGTGGTCAGGCTCGGTCACTTGGTTGATGCTTGTCATTGTATCCCAATTGTGTTGATTGATGCTCATAATGTCAATCACTGGATTGTCTGGTCCAGACTCGATCAGTTGCAGACCGTTGTCATATAGCTGGAATATTGCTGAGTGCTGCGTTAAACAAACAAACAAATGCTTTCTACAGTGGAACCCCCTTAATCAGGACAGTATCATTCCAGTAAAATCATCCGGATTAACAAATTTCCAGATTAACAAATCATTGATATGAAGCAATGCCGTTTGAAGCAAAGTCGACATCTATAACATTAATCGTCTAGGATGCAAAAATTCTGGATTAACAGGGTCCTGGTTGACAGGGTTTGACTGTATGCAACTCGGAGGGAGACGTGTTCTTTGCGTGTCCCTTCTTTTAGTATGTATTCCTTTTCAAACATGTGATGGAGGTACATCAGCTTATGCTCTTATTCCTGCATAATGATAGACTGGCAAGTACACTCTACCCAAAGATGGACAAGTGAGTTAAAATTTATCATGTTAGTCAATTTTATTTCAGTGTTGATAATGAGGTGGTTTGATAAATCTGATTATTACTTTGTAATCACTGTACAGCGTGTAAATATATCAATATATTTAGATATTTGTCAGGTAATTTTTTAACATATGTCAACAGGGTTGATAAACTATGCTTTAAGCACCCTGATCTGTAACATGTACCTATAAACAACATTTTTGTTTATTTATTTTGTTTTAGATCTAGGGTGAGATATGATTTCAAGGCTGATTTCTTCATGTATATTTACATATATAATTTTGTATTTTATCACCTGCTGTAAAATTCTGTGAAATAAATGGAGAAATAGTTCACATACATAAACCCAGAATGTTGTTATATGCATTCATCATCTTGCTGTCTACACATCATGATGGCCTGAGATACAAAAGACCAGTATCCTAGCTCAGTGGGCTATGTGCTTGTCATTGTGCAGTGAGCCTGTGTTCGCTTCTCGTTGTGGTGGCTGGGGTCACTCGTTTGTCTCTGGCTGCCATGCAGCTGTTAGCAGCAGGTTTTGTTTGCTGTCACTCTTAGTTGCTGGGATTGCTGCTGTTGATGTGACTGATGTAGTCAACATTGCTGCAGTAGTTGCTGTAAATGTTGTTGCTGCTGTGAATGCTGTAACCGACATGACTAGCAGTTGCTGTGGCTGCAGTGGTTGCTGTGGCTGCAGTTGTTGGTGTGGCTGCAGTAGTTGCTGTGGCTGCAGTTGTTGCTGTGGCTGCAGTAGTTGCTGTGGCTGCAGTAGTTGCTGTGGCTGCAGTTGTTGCTGTGGCTGCAGTAGTTGCTGTGGCTGCAGTTGTTGCTGTTGCTGCAGTTGTTTCTGTGGCTGCAGTAGTTGCTGTGGCTGCAGTAGTTGCTGTGGCTGCAGTTGTTGCTGTTGCTGCAGTTGTTTCTGTGGCTGCAGTAGTTGCTGTGGCTGCAGTAGTTGCTGTGGCTGCAGTTGTTGCTGTGGCTGCAGTAGTTGCTGTGGCTGCAGTTGTTGCTGTGGCTGCAGTAGTTGCTGTGGCTGCAGTTGTTTCTGTGGCTGCAGTAGTTGCTGTGGCTGCAGTAGTTGCTGTGGCTGCAGTTGTTGCTGTGGCTGCAGTAGTTGCTGTGGCTGCAGTTGTTGCTGTGGCTGCAGTAGTTGCTGTGGCTGCAGTTGTTTCTGTGGCTGCAGTAGTTGCTGTGGCTGCAGTAGTTGCTGTGGCTGCAGTTGTTGCTGTGGCTGCAGTAGTTGCTGTGGCTGCAGTTGTTGCTGTGGCTGCAGTAGTTGCTGTGGCTGCAGTTGTTGCTGTGGCTGCAGTAGTTGCTGTGGCTGCAGTTTTTGCTGTGGCTGCAGTTGTTGCTTTGGCTGCAGTAGTTGCTGTGGCTGCAGTAGTTGCTGAACGGTTGTAGCTGAAAACAGCCTAAGTCTTTTCAGGTCTAGTCCAGAAGAAGTGTGAACCTAGTTTGTAGCTAGTCCTGCTTGAACGAGACAAAATTGTTTACTATGCTTACATTGTCTCAATCTCATTAAAATCAGATCTTAGTTCTCACTACCGCTAAAAAAAAATATCTAAGAACACCCCATTACGGGTCAGACTGATCTTGCGCGAACTTTGACCAAACAATGGAATGACAAGAATTTGACATTAGCCAATCAGAAGGCAACTTTACAACACTAATTTCAAATTGGCATATTTTGACAAGTTCTTGATGAAAAATTTGAAAACCTGAACAAAAGATCATTCTGGAATGGCTAATAGATGGTCTAGATTGTATGGATTCAGTCGTTAAGCCCGTAACTATCGTTCGTAATACCCCGTTAAAGTTTTCAAGGTTGCATGATTAGAAATCACATTCCAACTGTCACTTTCATGATCTGGTAAGCAACGCTCTGATTGGTCAGATGAAAGGTCGTTCTGATGTGACCCCTAATGGGATGTCCTCAGACCTTTGTTTAGCGGTAGCGAGAACTAAGATCTGATTTTAATGAGAGTGACATTTTCTGTCAATTTTATTCAGTTCTATCTTCTTATTTGTAGCCAGATTTAAGCATTTTGAAGTTGTTCAGAGTTATGACCCTCAAGTACCATATTTGGGGTTTTACTTGTCCTCAACACAATTTAGTAGTTGCAGATTAGAATGAATTTCAAAGTCTTTGTAGTGAGTGAGTGAGTATGGTTTTACACCGCTTTAAGCAATATTCCAGCAATATCACGTTGGGGGACACCAGAAATGGGCTTCACACATTGTACCCATGTCGGGAATAGAACCCGGGTCTTTGGCGTGACGAGCGAACGCTTTAACCACTAGGCTACCCGACCGCCCCCAAAGTCTGTGTCAGGGGCAGTAGGTGTAACCTAGTGGTCGTGACGAAGACCAGTGTTTGATTCCTTGCATGGGTCACATTTGTCAGTCATAATACTCTGCCGATGGTGGTGTAGACCATGCTGCAGTTGCTGTAACTGTTGCAGTCACTGTGACGACTTGGTGCTCATAATAAGAACAGGATGTTGGTTTTTGGCACATATTATTTTTAGCAATTATGTGCTTCAGTATCTTATTTTGAATGGGGTAAAGATGATTGAATCTGATTTTGATTGTAAACAGAACACAATGTTTGAGGCAGAAGGCCCAGAACAGAGGAGCAGTGTTGTAGTTCTGTGCTGAGTGTCCAGCAGGCTTGCTTCCCATATTGATACTGTTTGCTCACCTATCTAGTGCCATCAAAACCCATTCAGACCATCACCCATGGCTACCAAGCCCCAATACAGCCTGGGGGGCACGGTTAGCGCAGTTGTCTAAGGCACCGCGATTCGCTGTGCAGACTTGCGTCTCTTGGGCATGCCAGAAACCTATGATTGTGGGTTCGAATCCAAGTTCGCCCTGATTATGTTTCTAGGTTTGTCAGCACCATACCCGTCCTAATGGGTTTCACCGAAGTGGTAAATGTCTGAGACCTGCATCACTTCGGGCTTTCCTCCCACATTAAGCTTACACTCCGTAATATAACTGGAATACTGTTGAAAGCGACGTTAAACCCAACCCACTCACTCACCCAATACAGCCTGTGACACCTCCGTTGCACTCCCAGTATAGAGCTTCGGAATGATATATCGCTGTGAGGAGCTTGACACTGCTACTTCTGAAGGGAGACAACTCTATTTCTCCATCTTGGTCTCATTCCTATATTTCCACCTTACACCTCTCACTCACTCAACAAGACTGAAGTGAGTGCCTGTGTTGGTGTGTCATGTGTCATGTGTCATGGAACATGTGTCTGAAGCCACATGTGTGTCTTGTGTCCCATGATGTGTCCAGACATGTTTTGTATGTTTTAGGAGTTTTTAACTCCATGTTTTTAATAAAATGTATGTTGATACTTTGATCTCTGTTAAAAACCATGTGTGATGTGACAACTATATCTTGTATTGTTGTAGGTATATTTTAGCCTCATTTCCTATAATGTGTTTGTTACTGTGAGGTTAAGCCCTGCCTTACTCCTGTATATAGAAATGGTATTGCTTTCCAGCTCTGCTTGATGGGTCATCTCCAACACAAGACAATTATTGCATGAGACCTGATGATGATAAAAGTGTATATTGTAAATTCCTGTCCCTCTGCTACAGAAGACTCGACAAACCTATCTTAGCGCTAAGATTATCCTTACTCCTTTACTTTTAAATTTTTCTTACAACAGCCATACTGCTAAGATCACTATGTGGGCAATGGGGAAGCCTAGTATAATTAAAGCCTTGGCTTGTGATGCCTAAGGGGGGACACGGGTGGCCCAGTAGTCTAAGGCGCCGCGATTCGCTGTGCAGAGTTGCGTCCCTTGGGCACGCCAGAAACCTATGATTGTGGGTTCGAATCCCGGTTCGCCCCCATTATGGTTCTTGGTTTGTCAGCACCATACCCTTGCTCGTGGGTTTCACCGAAGTGGTAAACGTCTGAGACCTGCATCACTTCGGGCTTTCCTCCCACATTAAGCTGACACAATGTGATATAACTGGAATACTGTTAAAAGCGGCGTTAAACCCAACTCACTCACTCACTCATGCCTAAGGCCGAGGTTTGGTTGCCCTTTTGGTACAAAGTGTGCATCCCTTGTGTACCCCATGATATTGCCGGAATAGTGAGTGATTATGGTTTTATGCCGCTTTTACGAAAATTCCAGCAATATCACGGCGGGGGACACCAGAAATGGGCTTCACACATTGTACCCATGTCGGAAATTGAACCTGGGTCTTCAGCGTGACGAGCGAACACTTTAACCAGTAGGCTACCTGACCGCCCCCTATTGTTGGAATACTAAGAGTGATGTAAAACCATCCTCACTAACTGTGTGGAATAGTGCCCAAGGTGCTGATCATAGCGCTATGCCTGTCATAAGTCTATGTTAAAGTAGGGGAATTACGATCATCTTTGTGCTGAGATTGCTTTGTGGAACTGGGGCCCAGAGGCTTGTTCCAAAAGGTTATGTTAGCGTTAGGAGCAGATTATTTCCATGCTATGATAAGGTATGGGAGTTATGACAGTCATACAGCTGGGATGACTTTGTGCACCAAGACCTACAGAAGGGAATACTGCATCCTGGAATTGTGGATAGTCCAGGATAGCAAACAAAAGATGGATGGATCTATAGACTGGGCAGATGTATAGTGCCTAATCTTTGGCCATGGAGCTGTGTCCATTATATGTGCGCCTTCTGATGACCACTACACAGTTTAAGACTTTGGTTCTATAACACGTGATTATTCCTGTACATGTTTTTTTTTTCTTTATGACTTTACACTCCAGCACTATGAGAAACCTCTCCTGCTCCCATTGCTTCTGTGCATGTGTTGTACAAAGGGATGGCGCTATGAGTGAATTGGCCAAATAAACAATTGAACTCATTTGACTTGTTAACTATTTGTAATGGAAAACAAAGAAACTACTGTAGGTTTTGTTATATCTGTGAGTGACCCATGAAGATCCGGGTAGAATAGGTCTTCAGCAACCCATGTTTGTTGTAAATGGCGACTGTGCTTGCCATAAGAGGCGACTCACGGGATCGGGTGGTCAGACTCGCTGACTTGGTTGATGCATGTCATCGTATCACAGTTGCGTGGATCAATGTTCATGATGTCAATCACTGGATTGTCTGGTCCAGACTCGATTATTTACGGGGCACAGGTGGCTCAGTAGTTTTAGGCGCCGCGATTTGCTGTGCAGAGTTGAGTCCCTTGGGTTTCACCGAAGTGGTAAACGTCTGAGACCCGCATCACTTCTGTCTTTCCTCCCACATTCGCAGCGATATAACTGTAATTTGTTAAAAGCGGCGTTAAACCCAACTCACTCACTCGATTATTTACAGACTGCCGTGATATTGGTGGAATATTGTGCAGCGTTAAACAACAGACAACAACAACAACAACAACAAAACCCAACTCACAAGCTCCCACATCAAGCTGACGCATGTGATGTAGATGATAAACAAACTCAATCCCTAGATTATGGAGCTATCAACACCATACAACAAGAGTGTTTTCACCAGAAACATCTAACAGTGGAACCCAACTTCTGATTCATCTTACGCCCACATCTAATCAGCTTCATTTGGAGAAAGTAATAAAAATAATACTAGGAGTGGTTGAAGCTTTCTGAGCTAGAATTTGATAGACGGTGTTCCTGGAATTGCATGCCAATTAGTAACATATACTGAACCACAAAGAAACGTCACCGTGGATAGATGTATGAGAAACCTTATTTGTCCAAAAACTGGGAACATACTTTGAGACATATTAAAAACAGGAAACTTGGCAAAAATGATCATCAAGGTTGAAACTAAAGTGTCAAATGTTCTTAAAGTGAAACACACCACTAGTCTCTGAGAAAAAAGCATCACAAGTCAGTATCTCGTGTGTCCCCCATGTGCATTGATGACTGCCGTGCAACGTCGATACATGGAATGGATGACGCGGTTGATGAAGGCCATAGGCACTTGAGCCCACACTCTGAGGGACGCCTGACGCAGTTCAGCTGCAGTTGTCGGCCTTGGTCAGACGTCATTCAGACGTCTTTGAATCTCGTCCCACAGGTGCTCAATGGGATTTAAATTGGGCCTGAGGGCAGGCCACTGCATGGTTCTCATGCCATTCTGCTGGAGGAAGTCTCTAATTGCTCTCGCAGTGTGGGCACGGGCATTATCATGCTGAAACTCGTGGTTGCGGCGACGTGCCAAATGAGGTATGGCAGTGGTCTCAAGACTTATTCAATGTACCGAGCTGCTGTGACACCATTGCCTCTCCCTGGACCGGTGTTCTGAAAGACCACAGGGCCGACACTCTGTGCAAGACCAATTCTATCCCACACCATGATGCTCGGACAACCCCACGAGTCTCTCTCAACAACGCAAGCATCCGAATAAC